TCATGGCTGGAGCGAGCTCCCGATAACGAGTTGAAATCATGACTTTAGGATCAGCCACAACTTCCTGTCCTCGCCGATCAAAACAATCTCCAGCCCGAGCTCTTTTTGTCCATCGCCTCTTAATGTATTCAGGAGGAATTATTTTTATGCCCACAGTATCAAACACCTTCAACGCGTGCCCACATAAAATGCCTTCATTCTCGTATTTTTTGCAACTGCAACGTACACTTAAATCATTCCGATTGAATACTACTGTTCTTTCAGGTCCTCCATCATACCTCATGACCGCAAACTCCACAAACATCGCTGCATCTTGTTGTCTCAATATAACCATAGCTGTTGACTCGCCATATTCATTTTGGAATGCAACAAATACGGTTGGTGAATACGTCTCTGATGCATGCACAAGCATAGGTGTTTGCCTTAACCCTACCATGGGGAGCTTTTGCCTCATTTCATATTCTGCGATCAGTTCATTATGTCTCTTTTCATCAACCACCTGATTGAAATGTCTAAAGAACTGCACAAGGTCATGATCCAGTTTCAAATGATTTTTAATTGCTGCATTTAGGCTTTCGCTGAGTTGGGTGCTTCGCATTCCCGCAGTCCATCTTTCTTTCATCATGCACCTTGCCCATTTATCACGAATTTTGTACAACCCCGAGAGCCATTCATTATTTTCAAGATTGTGTTTCTTCACCATCGCCTCCCACACCCTATTGAATTGTTCCACTTCTTGAAACTCATACATGCAGGCACCAAACATGTATGGAAGATCACTATTTTCCTTGTAATGATTGCCAAGATGTTTCATAAAATTACGCCTTATGTGAAACGTACATAGATCATGAAATGTTTCAGGCATGACAATTGAAAGAGCGGCTGCCATGGCGTGATCTTGGTCGGTTAGTATGGTACTTGGATGTTTTCCGCACATTGCTTCTAAAAATGTACCAAACACCCATTTGAAAGAATCTATCGTCTCATCATACATAAGGGCAGCACCGAATATCACAATTTGCCTATGCTGGTTAAAACCCACAAATACTCCAAGTGGCCGGTATTCTTTATTTGTTTTGTAGGTTGTGTCGAATGTGACTACGTCTCCAAAAAAGTTGTAGTCAATTAACATTCCTGCATCAGCCCAAAAGATATTCGTTATTTGTTCTTCACAGTCCAGCTGTACGGCATGAAAAAAGGATGGATTCTCGAGTGTTTGCTCTTGAAAATAATTCAGCATACTACCTGCTTCTCCATATTTCAAGCTCCTTTCCCGTCTTGTTCGAAGATATCGTTTAAGATCATCCCGAGTATATCCCACATTACCCATCCCACCTGCTTCCGTTCCCATAAGCTCAAGGTTCTGTTTCAATGAAAGCCCAGCATCTTCGCTTATTTCAGCTTGGAATCCTTGAGCCACACTCACTTTTCTTTGTGATGGCATCATGTGAGCACATTGAGCAATGTGCAACTCATGATTATGCTCTAAGACAAGGTCATGCACACGGTACTTCATTGTCCCTCTAAACAACACGATAACCATCTTAGCTCCACACCCTGTTTTCGTCGGCGCTCGTGTCCTCTTTGGCATCACATCACCTTCGTACTTGCGTTTCACACCTTCCTTGCAGCAACTATATCTTCTAGACGTGGTCATGCCGTCTTTGTCTTTATTCAGATAGTCTTTACGTACACTGAAACCCATTTTAAAGTCATACTTGTTGTAAAACTTGTACGCATCCTCTTCACTGTTGAACTCCATTCCTAATTCAGGGGTCCCATTTTCTGCCAATTTGCTGCAATCCATTACTTCTACTCCTGCTAATTATGCATCAAATACCCTAATTTGCAACATTTCATGAATAGTATGTACATAAACGACAATATAAATGTATATTACCATTTATAATGTGTTATGAATCACACATTACTCGTATACCAAATCCTATTATTACGCTTATCAATAGGATTAATGATTCACATCACCTTACTTTTACTCTAAGACAACGGTATTATCTATGTACAAATACAACTCCATGTACACTAACTTATACGGACTGTAATGTATTGGTCACGCGTTGTAAGTCTATTTGAACTGTATGTACATCCACGCTGGTGATTATATTTTGATTCTAGATTCTTTAGCTTACTGGACCTTATGTCATTCGTTAATGACAACCGCATAAACCAACTCCACATTTTCTACTTTTTCTACATTTTGAGGGCCAAACAAGTACTTTCTACTCATTGTAATATATTTCTTACATCATGTAATTGACTTACAACACAAGGTTCACCCATTTATTATTCACATATGTGTCTTTTCCTCTGTTTCACCCCATTCAACTCTATGCCTCTATTTTATACAACTGTATGGTCAGGAGAGGGGCAAACTAATATTACTCCATGAGCATGGACCAATTACTAGATGCACAATAATTCATATCAATTGTAATACGGTGGCTATAACATGTAACTAATTTACAACAAGATGTATATTCATTCACTTGTTAAATGTGACTTTGTTTCTCTCATCTTTCCCTAATTCCAGTCGATGATTTACTTGAATACATAACCCTACTTTCTACTCATTGTAATATATTTCTTACATCATGTAATTGACTTACAACACAAGGTTCACCCATTTATTATTCACATATGTGTCTTTTCCTCTGCTTCATCTCATTCAACTCTACGCCTCCATTTTACACACACTATATGGTCAGAAGAGGGGCAAACTAATATTGCTCCATGAGCATGGACCAATTACTAAATGCACAGTGATTCATATCAATTGTAATACGGTGGCTATAACATGTAACTAATTTACAACAGGATGTATATTCATTCACTTGTTAAATGTGACTTTGTTTCTCTCATCTTTCCCTAATTCCAGTCGACGGTTTACTTGAATACATAACCCTAGGTCTTCCAAAAACTACTATCCCATTATAGTCCATCACTGAAAAGCTGAATGCTCACACAAACACAGATACGGTACACACATACAAATACAGTACAACTTCACTATTCTTCTATCATCTTCATATTATGTCTTCAGTGACTCTAATTTCATCCTTCCTTTAACAGATGTGCATTTGGGTGACAAATTATTGGCCACAATTACTGACATGGTTCAGTCATGTTACCTTGGTCTGCTAATACGCTTCACGTTTCACCGAAGTCGGAGACGTAGCTGCTTCTGCTATTAAGTTGAAGGACAAAATCTGGTTTCGTGAGATGCTGAATTTCCTCTATTTGCTTCTACCTTACCGCCGCTCTTGCACGCATTCAGAATACATACAACACTCTTATACCCAATTGGAGACCACAACTGCTTCTGTTATTCAATTTTACGGACAAACTTTGGCTTCATCTCTGTTTGCTTCTTCCATGCCGCCTGCCTCTCCACCCATTTTTCTGTCAATTGCTACTTTCATCAGAGTAGGCTACACCCACTTCACCTAGAAACACCCAGTAGGTTGAATCCCACCTGAACATCAGCTTTCTGCCTTCAGTGAGTGGTTGGTCAGAGTAGATTACCTTCACAATTTAATTATTTGGCTTCCCTCAGTTTTGTTTTCTGCGGTTAATTCAAAATTTCAACTTGAATTTCAAAAATCAATTCTCTTCCGTTTGCTCCGTCTGCTCCCGTTTGGAAGTCAACATTTTTTTATTTGGAACGGCATCGTTTTTGTGCCCTGCTTCAGCCTTGCTGACTTGGCTCATTTGTCTCCTCACGTTTTTTATTGTGAGGAGACCATTCAGGAGCGGTCGTCTGAGGACCGCTCCTGCCCCGTATCCGCTAATTAATGCATCAAAACGCTGTAGATGACAATGGCAGCTTGCTCAACATCCACACTTCTATCAATACCTATCCGACAACGACTTTGATATATTTTATTCCGACAATGACTTTGACATCTTTTATGATACGGAACGAGAAAACCCGGTTAGTAACCCAGCATACGCATTCATTGATAATTGTTTAGGTTTCTTAATTAAGAAGCTAAGTATTATATAATGGTTGAAAATTGTTTAGTATTATATAATTGTTTAGGTTTCTTAATTACGATTTTTTAATGTGGAACAGAAGTTCTTTGGAAATACACAATTAGACATTTAGTGTGTGAATAGTGGAAGACAGCATCTAGGTCTAGAGGTTTTTTCTCTTTTAAATTTTTTGGATTTACTCGACTTGATTTTCATGTTACCATCAATTGAGACTTACAAGAAAAAAACAAAAGACTATTCTGCAAAACATTAATGGATCTGATGTTGTTGGAAAGTTAAAACGTTAAAACGTCGAATATACTCAAATTATTCAATACTCCATTCAATTCCAGGGCCCCAAAAATTATAAAGAGGAAAAGAACGAGTGAACCACTTTTCTAAACCTGATCTTGATATTTTCAAGTGAACTAATTAGCTTCTCATCAGATATCTTTTTATTCTTTTATCGAATACACTAGTCATCATAATATTGTTTGTGTTTTTCATTAAAAAAGATCATTTCTTATAACTTTTTTTTGTTCATCATGCATCACCATAATGATGTGGCTCTAAATTTACAATATAAGTTATATATTAATAGACTCATTACCTGACTGATTTTCCTTTTGTTTTCTTTTTCTTTTTTCGAGGTTAAAGTTTTCAATTGTAAATCTATGTTGGACTGCTTAAAAGAAATAATCAAAAGTCTAGACTAGACTCCCTTAAGGAGGAAAAAACGAAAAAAAACCTAGTTTGGTACTTTGATATGGTTAGTGAAAGGCCACATCCAGGTTGGCAGATCAATTAATTTTCTTGAATTTGATTTGCTACATATTTTCCTGTATTTTATGTTACAGCATGTAACTCTGGTAATAAGGACTAGTTCTGAAAGAGATATTCAATAAATTAATTTTGGCCTATTCAATAAATTAATAAGGCCTAATTAATAAGGTCCTATCCTCTTTGCCAAGTAAAGTGCCCCTTCTCCGTTTCCTACATATATCCGGCTTCTTTTTTATAATTCACTCAGTCAATGTGTAACAAGTATGCTCCATCTTCAGATTTTGGCAGTTGTGTTTTCTCTAATCCCAATTTTCTTCTTCGTTCTCGCGATCACACCTAGTACTTTTTTCGGTGACCATTGTCGGAGATATGGTGATCCTACCTTCAACTCCAAAAACACCAGCAGTGACCGTCGCCCATCCACTTGCGGGGGCACCGACATCAATTTAAAGTGCCCGTTTCAATTTAGTGGTGATGATTTGTGCCCTGAACCTTATGTTATTGAATTCTCTTGTGAAAACAATCGCAGTGTTCTATCCTTGAGTGTTGGTTCCTATCCGGAGATACAACAGTATAACTTTTCTGTGGAGTTAAACAGTATTGATTATGAGCAACGGACACTTCGTATATTTGATCCTGGGGTGCAAAAGAATAACTGTTCTACTCTGCCAGTCTACCCATTCAAGCCATACAACCAATACTATCAAAATCCATACAACGAATACTACTTTTCTGGGAAGACAGTTCCCGATACTGGTTGGTTGGTCTTTGTGAGCTGTAAAAATCCGGTGAAATCGAAATATCATCCTCTTTACGTAGACACTGCTTCCTGTAATGTCACTGCAAATCATTTTTCAAAAATGAAAGCTCCACCCGGTTATTATAGCTATGTTGTGGTTGGTGAAAGCGTGGTGGCATCTGATATTGAAGAGTCGTGCACCATCTATAAGACAGCTGCTGCAGACCTGCGGTGTCTCCCTAATGTAACAGCAGGAGATATTTCGTTTCAAGACATCCACAATCTTCTGTCTAATGGCCATGAGCTCAAATGGTACGGAGGCCTGGACATCAGGAGATCCCTTTTTTGTAAGTACACTGATTTGAAGATTTATTAACATCTTGATTGATGATTGATTATGATAGATCTTTTAAAAAGTATTCAATACTACTGCTTGAAACTATGTTTTTGGGGAATTAATGACAAATTACCGTATATTGGAAGATTTTAAGTTAAGATGTACTGCTATTCATCTTTCTTTCTTTCTTTTTTTAATTATAGAACAACCAAATCTTGTTGATGAGCACAACCGTTTATTTTAAATTTCATGCATCATATAAGTCTTAATGTTCAAAATATAATTGATTAATGCATTTGAGTTGTGGATCTCAAATTCTCCTTTTAATGGTGCTTGTGCTTTCTACAACCAGCTGGCTTGGCGACTCATCTTTCCCAAAAGTGAACGGAGAGTATATGTGAAATTGGGTTGAGTCAACTCTGGGTAGGGGTCCCTTTCATTTTCTAGAGTCAAGTAGATTTCTTTTCTTAATTTTTATTTGATCCAATCCAAAATTCAATACATCATTCATGTAATGAATTGCATTATCAAATATCACTACTTTGTGCGAGACCTTGCTATCTAATAAATGCGCATACTTGATTATTTTACGTATTACATTAACTAAAGAGCATTAAGGCTATTTATTAAGATCTTATTCTGTGAGTCAAAAACGTGGGGCAGGTACATTTTTTGTTTGGTGTCCACAATCAATAGCAATAAATAGAATGAAAAATTCATGTGCAAAATAATATAATGTAAATATATGCAAGAAATATAATATTGGTACACTATTGCCTCTGCCCCAATTCCCTCTAGGTCATTTGTTTCATTTAGAAACTGATGAAGTGACTTTTTTTTTTTCTTTTTTCCTTTTGTTTTTGGTTTAGGTCTGGAGGTGTTTAGGCTAGGTTCCTCTTCATTGTACTAGGGAGAATTTCTATCTATTACACATCAATAAAATGAGTTTAAAAATTATTCTAAAAAATCAACACTGTTCATAATGGATTTTATCACTTTTGTTAGTTATACATAAAATTTCATATGCAGTTGACTAAGCTTTGCCAACTAATTAATCATTACCAACTTCTTTTTTTTTTTTTTATAATTTTGACCTATTTTCACCATTCAAATATTTTTGACATATTGAAAGCCAAAAAATTGTCAACAGAACATAATTTTTGAAGTATTTTGATTTAGAGATCAAAAAGAAAAGTAATGACATAATCAGATGATTTTATAGGGGGAGGGTTGTATTAGATGATAAGGTAGGAGAGGTTGTAGTAATTGCTTTCAAAATGAAATACTTATAAATATTATGCATTAGATTTGATAATCTTGAATGAAGGTGCAAACATTTTTTACACCAATCAACCTTTAATATGAAAACTAATATTGGTGGTTTAATTGATTTTGCTGAAGTTTTGTGGAGGTCATACTATAAAAAAATTTTCAGTGAAACTTGTATTTCTTGGAAGTGAATTTGCTAAATCTTTGGAAATATTTTAGTGGAATCACTGCAGTATAGGTTTCGTTTTGTGATTAGTTGTTTTCTTCTTTGCAATCTTGCAAGTTTGGAATTGAGGCATCGTTGAAATGCTTATAGGTGAGATTCGTCCATGGTGGGAATATGATACGTAGTCTTACTTTTTTTTTTCTTCTCACTATATTTGGTTTGTGTGGATGACAAATGAAAATTGGTTAGTGATTGTCAGTTTTATGAATGATTATGAGAGTAAAATACGTTATGCAATAGGATACGTAGAATTGTGGGAATTCATAATGGTGAGTTTCTCAAATTCGTAAGTGTCAGACGTGATTTGGCATATGTAGATGTGATTTTGCATGGGTGATTATTATCCGTTATTTAAAATTTTGGAGTTTTGGTTTTGTGGGTTAGTGGGTCACGTAAATTGGAAAGTGAGAAAGGATAAGGAGAAGGGATTACTAAATTAAGATAAATCTAAAATTATAATAAAAAGGGATTTAGATTTCTCATGCCTGTGGAGGCTCTTCGTCGAAAACCTGTTCTCTAATACATGTAGATATAGATATTTTTTTATATATAATCTTACCTACCTTTTCTTCTACTTATTTACTTTCTCTAATTAATCTTATATTTTTAAAAATATAACACCTAAAATATATTTTAACTTGTGCCCTATAAGCACCTCTTAGACAAACCGTATGAAATTTGACTTGAGTTAACTCTGGGTAAGCCCCTTTCATTTTCCAGCTTCAAGTAGATTTCTTAATTTTATTTGATCCTGGCAAAAATTCAATGCATCATTCATGTAACGAATTGCATGTCCACAATCAATAGCAACTAATAAAATATACTTAAGACAAACTGTTATACTTCTTACAACATTTGATGTCCACAATCAATAGCAACTAATAAAATACAGAATTCATGTGTACAATAATACTGATGATGTGGATTTTTTCTTTTTCTTTTTCTTTTTTTCTTTTTTTTTTTTGGGAATCAGAATACCAGAAACCTACTGCTGTTTTGTCTTTATTTGTTGCTGCAAATCTTTTTTAGCAAACCAAAAAAATATAGGAACATGGTCAAATTAGAAAAGTTGGATTTTTAAAAAGCTTATTTGTGTTATGATCCCAACAAACATATGAATTATTGAATTCTTACTTTAAGCCATGCAAAACAAACATACTTTGAATTTATTGTCATAGTAATTTGAAACTTGCACGCATATGAGTGTGAAATATATAGCTGTAATTAATAAAAGTTGATTTTTAAGCATCCAATTGGACATTGACGTTGCCTTCTGTACGTAGGCGATGGAGCTCTCATATTGGTAGATGTCTACAGTCTCCTCGGCCCATATGTCCCAAATGGACGTCAGTAATTTTATTTCTTTGATTTACAGAAAAACCATTTTTTAATCAATCAGATTCTTTCTATTTCAATATTTCCATTATAATCCTTTAACTTTTCTTTTATAAGCAGATCACTTTAATATTGGTGGCTTAATTTCGAGTAAGGCATCTGATTTATAGTTGAAAAGACATACACTAGAAGTCAATCTTAGCTAAGTCTTATTGTTCTCTTCTTCTATTTCAGTTCTGCTTATTGCAGCAAAACATGTCATTGGCATTATCCTCTTGTTTGCTTTCCTCCTTTATCGGTGTCATCGCAGGCATTTATCGAGGTATGATACAATAGAAGATTTCCTACAAAGAAACAACATTAGGTACTCATACAAAGAAATAAAGACAATGACAAAAAATTTTGAGGAGAAACTAGGTGAAGGAGGCTATGGTTTGGTTTACAAAGGCAAATTGCGCAGTGGAGGGACAGTTGCTGTCAAGATGCTGAACAAATCAAAAGCTAATGGCCAAGAATTCATCAATGAAGTTTCGACTATTGGAAGAATACACCATGTGAATGTGGTTCAGTTAGTGGGATTTTGTGTTACTGCCTCAAAACATGCTCTAGTGTATGATTACATGCCAAATGGCTCTCTGGACAAGTTAATTTTCTCAAATTGTCAGAATGGTTCTCCATTGAGTTGGAAACAAGTTTGTGAGATTGCAAAGGGGATTGCTCGTGGCATCGAATACTTGCATCATGGGTGTGATATGCAAATTCTGCATTTTGATATTAAGCCGCATAACGTCTTACTCGATGACAACTTTGTTCCAAAAGTTTCGGACTTTGGACTTGCAAAACTTTACCCGATGCAAAAGAGTATTGCAACTCTTACTGCTGCGAGAGGAACTTTAGGTTACATGGCCCCGGAGTTGTTCTATAAAAAGATTGGAAGAGTCTCACATAAGACAGACGTTTACAGCTATGGAATGTTACTAATGGAGATGGCAGGAAGGAGGAGAAATGTGGATGCGCATGCTGAGCATTCTAGTCAAATATACTTCCCTTCATGGATATATGACAAATTCGATCAGGTGGAGGAAATGGAAATCGGCGATCATGCAACTGAAGAAGAAAAGACAATTACAAGAAAATTGATTTTGATTGCCTTGTGGTGCATACAGATGACACCTGAGGATCGTCCTTCAATGAGAGAAGTCTTAAAAATACTTGAAGGTGATGCTATTGGCCTAAAGTTGCCTCCTAAACCGTCGTTTTACCCTCCAGATTCACCCATATCCATGCAAAGAAGCAGCGATAGTAGTTCTTCTGATGAGTCAACGGTGCCCCTATGTAGCTCTGTTGCTTTAGAAATAGAGCAGATGGATGACTAAGTAGAATTCGTGCATTCAGTGAAATCTTTGTCTAGTGGATTTGTCTTTCAAACTCTCAAATATGCCACCTAGTAACAGATAGCATGGCAAACTGAAATATCAGTTTGGTATCAATAAGCTCAAGGGTAGCTCCTTGATATATGCTTCATATATAATAGTAATACCAGCATCAATCTTTGAGTTTAACTTAATAATTTCTACAATTGAGCTCCAATCCATATTTTTTTCTTAAACTATTATGTTATCTAAAACAGCGAGCAGCATATCTAAATATTTCCTCCAAATTCGTAAGATCGATCCTTTCCAATAGTGTTGCTGTTACTGGTCAAATTGTTAGTTTGACATAGCCTTGTGAATGCTTTATCTAGTGGATTTTTCCTTTGAAACATGTCGTTCCATTTCATCAACGTGCAGAATAAGACATTTCCTGGATCCTACCTGCTTGAGTAAGTGGAGGCGAATGCTACACGGTCTAGCTGATATACTTTTCAAATAATCATGAAGAAGAGAACTAGTGTTTCTTCTTGTTGGTTCAGTTATTTAAGTTGAGGTTTTGTACGTAAGAAGCATCACGACATTGGCACCTTCTCTTGAGTTATGGATTGCTACTGTCATTGTCTCTGAGTTCATATGATTTGATTACAAAAAGTCAGTCATTGTGCCTAAGCTTTCAAGGGGAGTGGAGAGGAAAATGGAATTGCTTTGTGTCATAATGATAAACGGTTCTGAAAAGATCTAAACTTCAGTTTTCCAATAAACGTTTCTTGATATGTGTTGCACGAATACAACATTTTTAAAAGTTTTAATCTTAGAGAAAGAGATGACATATTAGGCTTGCGAATGAGGGGTGTAGGAGTACTCCTAAAACAAATGTCTCAGGAGAAGGACTAAAGAGATATTTTGGAGAGAAATAGTAGGAAGGGTTAGGAAGAGTAAAGTGAGGTCCAACTCAAAATTCTTCCAATATAAACACTTGCTCAAATTATTAATTAGTCCCCCAACTTCTAAACTTAATCACATAAACCTCCAAGATTATATAACCTTCACTAATTAACCCATGAAATAAAGTTAACGTGATCATGAGGATTACACTTATGCTGCAAATATTTGGAGAGAAGTGTGCAGAGTTCGAATTTGGCATACAGAGGAGCATATGCTTTGAATATTAAAATATTGTGTTAGGAAAAATTTTCTTGATTAAAAATTCAGGTCGTCTCTTGCATTTTCTGTCTATCATATATGGGAAGAGAAAAACAAGAGAATTTTCACTAAGGAAGAAAAAGCTTCTCCTATCATCTTGCAACCGATCAGCACTGATAGCTTCTTGGAAGAATATTAAACTGACAAAGTATTAGCTTCTTGGGTGTTGATTGGCCTTTTGCTACTTATTTCAAAGGAGGTGGATTATCACTCATCCAAGCTTGTCTTTGATATATTAAATCTGATCATGGTCCTTGATCTTTTAAATCTTGTGTTAAGATGTTATTTAGCTTAAGTTTTGGCTTGATTTCAAGATGTGCAAGTGGTTGTGATGATCATTGGATGAAATAAACAAGTTAGGGTTTGATTAATTTCTGTCTACACTTGTTGTTTAGTTGTATATGTTGAATATAAGTTTATATAAGGGGCTTTGGTAGTGATTGGAATAAGAAATTTGAGAAAGTTTCATTGAAGATCAACAAATTCCAGATTTCTGGAAAATTTCCCCCCTTTCTGTCCGTTTTTGTTGCTCCATGTTAGAGGCTGAAATGGCCTTAGGTCAAAACATAAAAGTTGTAGAGAATGGTATTTTATAGTTTTCCACAAAATTTCAACTCAATCGGAGCAACGTAGCTTGTGAAAAGATGAAAATACCCTCGCTGATCTAGGTCACTTTCCAGAGTTCCGTGTGGACAGTTCAGTCCTTTTTGGTTGAGTTATTCACTATAATCCGTTTGGATTTAGTCATTTGTTAAAACATAAAAGTTTTAGTGCCTTGTCTCAGCTTTGTAACGCCGCTAAGAACGTCTTAAACGGACCTCGGTAGACTGAGATATGGTCATTTGAGTGCAGTGCGGTTGATTAGCAGAATAGTTGAAACCAGGTTATATGGATTGGGAATTTGATCAGGTTACACTGGAAATTAGACTAAGTACTCTTCATGAAAGTTGTAGGCCTTTGTCTTAGCTTCAAAATGGTATAAGCTGTGTATCAATCTGATAAGCGTAGCCTCGGATATGTTATTTCCGCAAAGCCCGTCAAATCAGTCTTTTGTAATTGCATTTCCGCACTTGATACTAGCTTAATCTTTGTTCGTGTGTTGTTGTGAGCCTATGGAATGGCTATTGAACTGAATTTGTGTTCTGGACTTGTTTTGTGTATAATGTTGGGTTGGATTGAGTAAGAATGAAGCCATAAATGGCTGGAAATTATAACAAGCTCTGTTTTCTGCTGTATCAATAAAATGAATACCGCTTTCGGGTATTATTTGAGGCAGCTGTGTTGGAGGCAGCTACACCTCTCATTTAGTGAGTGCGACATTAAAAATTTATGTGTTTTTTCTGCACAAAATTTATAGATTTAGCAAACTCCTCTCACTACGCGTTCACCCCCACAAAAAAAAAATCCCAATATTCTGCCAAAGCAAGGAGGTATGTTTTGCAGTACGCGTTCACCCTCAAGCATATAAATTGGAAAATTTTAACAAAATTTTTTTGTATCCAGTTATCCATGCACTTAGCTGATAAGCTTCTTCGTCTTCTTCTTCTTCTTCTTCTTTTTTTTGGTTAAGGCGTGTAATAATAAAGTTTTGGGTGGATCCAACTTTAATTATTATTGCAGTCAGACATGTATCGAGGCCACAAATCAAATTCTTACTAATTACTTTTTTTTTTGTGGACATAGGATATCTTGTCCAAACTAATCTCCTGCAGCTGTGCAGAGTTTGCCCAAAACGCACAACATGTTACCAGTAAGGGTCGATCTGAAGACCTCGAATAACTACCCGAAAGCGGTTATCATACGAGCTGCCTAACAAAACAAATGAAGGCAATAAGGGGACAATTTTCTTTTTTTTTTAATACAAAAATAACAACAAAAGGAGTTGACCCAAAAAAATAACAAAGTATAACAACTTGATTTTGTCAATAATAATAATTATTATAATAATAATAGCAACAACTTCAGTGCTCAATGGTCTAACTGATAGACTTATCAAAGTTTCTTCTGGTTCCTTCTTTCTTATGGTTCAGTCTTTTAAGCCATGGTTTTGCCTTGTGTTGAAGAATTCAACTATTTAAGAGCCATCATGGCATTTAGTAACGGCTATTATCCCACATAAGAAGAGGTAGTTTAACCATCAGCCACAATACAGTACACATGTAAAATATATCATTGATTACCTCTACTTTATTCATCAATTTCTTCTTTTTGTTTCTTGCATTTGCAGAACATTGGGAGCTATTAATACACAAGACTTTCAGTTGACATTAACCTCTAGCATCTTATTCTAACTCAGAGATCATTGCCAATCCTGAAGCCAAATGTCTTCTATGCAAGCTTGGAGTACTTGGATTCATGGGATCTGTTGAGGTGAAAGGACTTGGTGGAAGACTCGGACTTTCTCCATTTCCTTCAAGCATCTGAAGAACGAAGGTTATTGAAGGACGATCCACAGGGTTCCACTGAATGCACCAAAGTCCCACAATTGCCAATTTTTTGGCAATGACATCCTCTCCATCTTCCTCAACTTGGATTCTCAAGTCTTCCCCTTGAACCATCCGTCCGTAGATCCATTCGGGATAGTACACTTGGCTAACTGATAGGGTATAATTTGTTAATAATTTTATTATTGATTTCCCCTTCTATCGCTGACAAATATTGTGTTAGTTGCTGATATTTACTCATATTTGGTATTTGGAATCAATTTCAGGAGTGAAGCAAAAAATTACCAAAAAGGAGGGACTTGTATGAAAAAATGCAGACTTCTAAGGGCTTTAACCTTTGAGCCCTTGAATTGGTGGGGACCACAAGCTAGTGCAAGGCATTTAGTCATTTGGGCTTTTCAAAGAAAGCAACGTAGAGAGATTTGGAACAACAAGTACTTTGGAGGCTTTGTCCACATGTGTGGGGACCACAGGGAAATAGCTTTTAAGCATCTTTCTTTTGGCTTTATAAGTAGTGAACGTACAGAAGGAAGGGACGAACGGCTTTTTACCTCTAATTTTTAGTCTTTTAGTTTAGTTTTAGTTTTCTCTTTCTTTTGACTGGCCTCTGACACACGCCAGGTGTTCGACAAAATTCCCCAACGGGAAAAACACCATTTATTCCTTGCTTTCTAGTAAAAAAACCGCAATGCCTTTGCAATCCAATAATTCGTGTGGTGATTTAATTATGCGGCGTGGCTAAACCTTTCATCTAGTCAAGGGTCAACTCGACGGCGCAGTCCCGAAAATCTGTGAGATCTAATTAGTTTTCACGCGTTCCTTAATTTATTAATATTTGCACATTGTCTGCTTGCATTCTCATGGGATTATTTTATTAATTGGATGTCAAGGGACCGATGTTCAATGTGATTTATTAATCTCGTGCCAATTTAGTCAATTAAATCCGTAATTGTTTGATTGATTAATATTAGTGGCAACTGGTGTATTCACACACTAGGGGAACGTGCGATCTAATTTAAATAACTCTCGTAGCGTGTTATTGATTAGGGCTAGGTTTTTCTAGTCATTAGTGCAATTGGGAAATTAGTTCCTATGGTCGTACTTAGGAGTATTTTCTGGTTAGGGGTGATCAATGGTTGTACCTTGGTTATCAATAATTTAAGGAAAAATTGGTTGTCAGAGTTCATCGGCAACTATAACTAGTCTATTAATAAATTAAGTGAACCTCTCTTGCATCAATGATCGGATAAGTGGACTGTGCCTGAGTAGTTGCATCCTTGGCTAGAATTTATTCATTCTTGATTTAACTCCTGCTATATTTGTGCTAGTTAATTATTTATTTATTTCTGTTGAATTATTCAATTGATTTTAGTTTCATTCTGGTGAAATCCCCCCTTACCAGTTGGCATTTAAAAAGAGACAAATATCCCCAATCCCTGAGGAGACGACCCTACTTGCCACTATCTACTATTCAGTAATTTTTGTCAACTAATTAATTCTGGTATATCGGGTTAAGCAAACTCTTCGGAAACAAGGTGAATCAAGTAACCCATTGCACA